CACGTGCTCGTGCATGAAACGCAGACGTTTGTTAGAGCTGGATTTAAATTTTTGGAACCGCACATGAACAGAAAACATCCTCTAATCCATTAACTTTCTGTTTTTCCCTATTTCCGCACTAAAAATTTCCTTTGTAAATTTTTTTTTCGCGTTTTCGAATTTGAGGCATAAACATACTGAAAACTGAATTTGAAGCCCCAAGGTTCTACATGAGAGATTGCATCGCAGCTAAATTTTCAGCTCTCGGTCTTACCCTTCCCTGAGGCAGAAAATTTCGCGCCGAAATTTTCACTTGTTCGTACGTCGGACTTAGACGACCATTATCGGGGAATATCCTCCTAAAATTTCAGCTTCCTAGCTTTTTCAATTTTGATTTTTGCACCAAGGCTTTTACGTGCTCGTGCGTGGAGCCTTAACTTATTTTTCGGAGACTAGATTTAAGTTGCGGGAGCGCACGCGAGTGTGGGAAATCCCCTTTCAATTTCAGTTTCTTATCTTTCCTGGTCCCCTATATATTAGGACGAGTAAGATCGACTGAATCTACATAAAATACCAATGTATTGTCTGCGACAATAAGATCAAATGTTCAATTTGCAAAACTGTGTATGTCCTTCTGTTTGGTGCGCTTTCCGTCTTTAAGATTTCTTTCTTTCTTTCTCCTCTCCCAATTATTTTATTGTTCTTAAATTACTTTGAGTTAAATGCAATAGATCTATTGAGATCAGTGGAATTGCCTGAAACGAATGCTGAATGTCAAAAATTCTTGTTTTCTAATATATGTTTCCTTTTAAGTTTATTGCAGCTTCCTTTTAGTTTGTCACGGTGCTGGCGCAATGTTGCAAGTTGGAGCGCACCGGTTCTCTGTTTACTCTTCGATGTAAGCTTTTTAAGATTTAAATTTTTTGATTATGAACTAAAATGAAAAATAAAATGATGCCCTGGTGATTTCATGTATTATTTTTGCACTGTAACTCGAGCAGATAGGCCCCGATTGTCGTCAGTTTGCTCTTGAAAGACTGTTTTCTAATGAGTAACGGTTTAGGGCATGCAAAGATCTTTGAATCTGTGTCTGAAATAGTTATAGCCTAAACAGGATATCACTGGTGTAGGTAATTGTTGTGGATGTAGTTTGAGTTACTTGAACAACAGTTAGCAGCAACGGTGGAATGTTTTTTTCTAGCTGAAAGAGTGCGAAATTTCATAATTTGAGATGTTAAATGTTAAAAAAAATTTTCATAACTTGAGATGTCAAATTTTAAAAAAAATTTTCATAATTTGAGATGTTAAATGTTCAAAAAAAGTTTTCATAACTTGAGTTGTCAAATGTTAAAAAAAATTTCATAATTTGAGATGTCAAATGTTCAAAAAAAAAAAACAATTTGCCAAGATCATCAAGGAAGTGTTGAGTTAAGACGATTGATCCCGGGGACGCTAACATCAAATGTTGCACAAAAGAAGGGCCCTGGTTTTGATTAGAGAGTACAGATACTTTATCCTTGTTATAACTAAATTGTGCAGGTAATCTGACACATTTTGAAGTGTGGTAACCATATACCATCGTATTGGTCTTTTGAATTTATCAGGAGCAAAAGTTTAACTGTAGGGAGACAGTGGCTCTAGCTGGAATTAATTTTTTGGACATGCCAATATGTCAATTAGTCGGAAAATTTCGTGCCGAAAATCCTACTTGTTCGTACGGTAGACCTAGGCGAACATAGGAAC